TAACAAAACCAATTTTACCACAGGCTAATTGGTATGAATAAGAATTAAGTTAGTTCCTTTGGCATCTCATCAATATAATAACAAAATGATATTATAACAACAATATTATAACAAAATAACATAACCACATTATTCGAGGACCTGCTATACATTATCAGGCCTACTGCAAAACATGGTTTGAAGAGACAGAGCATCAGAACCAGGCTCAGATATGGCAAGGATGCTGGAATTAGCAGACCATGAATTTAAAACGACTATGATTACTATGCTAAGAACCATAGTGGAAAAAATAGACAACATACAGAAACAAATGGTTCATGTGAGCAGAGATGGAAATTCTAAGAATAAAAAATGCTAGGGATCAAAAACACCATAACAAATGAAGAACAATATTAATGAGCTTATTAGACTAGGCACTACTGAAGAAAAAAATCTCTGAGCTACAGAATATCTCAATGGAAATATCCAAACTGAAAAGCAAAGACTGCAAAAAACAACACAACAGACTATCCAGGGACTGTGTGACTACAAAAGATGTAACAGTACATGTAATGGGAAAAAATACCAGAAGGAAAAGAAAACGAGAAAGAAACAGAAGAAATATGTGAAGTGGTAACAACTGAGAATTTCCCTAAATTAATATCAGACACCAAATCAGATAACCAGGAAGCTCACAGAACACCAACCAAAATAAATGCTGGAAAAACGAAACAAAACAAAACAAAAATAAACCCTATACTTAGGTATACCATCTTCAAACTGAAGAAAATCAAAGATGGATAAAAAATCTTGAAAAAAGCCAGGGGGTCGGGGGAAAACATCTTACCTATAGAGAAAAGATAAGAATCACATCCGACTTCTCAGAAACCATGCAAGGAAGAGAGTGAAATATTTAAAGTGCTGAGAGAAATGTACAACTTGGTATCCTAAAAAATTATGCTTCAAAAGCGAAGGAGAAAGTCATCAGCAAGATGATGGAGCAAAAAATTCCAATGTTTGTCTCCCCACAACAAAAACAATGAATAAACACCTACAGGGAGGTGGGTCCACGATGATGCCGCAGGAGGATGCTGACATTTGCTTCTCAGCAACACACCAAATAAAAGTTACAAAAAAATTTACACAAAATGTACCATAGAGTCAAAAAATAAAAATTTTAAATAGCTAAAACTTAAGAGTCATGCTAGATACAGTGACAAGGTCTAATTTACCCTTACCTGCAGTCCCAGGAGGAAAAGAGACAGAAATATAGTAAAGAAAATTTTAGAAAGATGAAGACTGAGAATTGTACAGAACTGATGAAGAATAATCCAAAGAAGCATGATGAAGACTAGCAAATCCCAAGCAAGAAAAATAAATCTACACCTCAATATGTCATAATTAAACTGTAGAAAACCAATGACAAAGAAAAAAATCGTAAGAGCAGCCAGAGAGGAAAAAAACAAAACACTTTCAGTAACACTGAAATCTAACTCTTCAAGAGCAACAGTGGAAACCAAAAGGCAAGAGAGAAAATAACGACTCATCTCCAATTTTATAGCCACTAAAATCTCTCTCAAGAAAGATGATGAAATAACAGCATTTCTATACAACCAAAAATTGAGAGATGGTGTCACCAAGAGACTCAACAGATGCAATTCTGGACTTCAGACAGGCAGAAGAAAAGTGATCGTGTGTGTGGAAAGTCTGAGTTTCAAGAAGGAATAAAAAATAAAGAGTAGTAAATATATGGAAAAATATCAACAAAATTTAATAAAAATATAACTACATAAAACGGAAATAACAACACAATAACATTATCTAGTGAGACTAAAAACAGGAATCAAAATGCCAACAACAATATATAAATTGGGAACATGACACATGGAATTCAAGTGTTTTGAGGTCTTTATATTATCTGTGAGAACAATAAAATTTCTGTTCAACTTTAGATTTAGGATAATTTAAGAATGCACATTATAGGGTAACTCAAGATTGCACTTTATGGACTACACTTCTATGTAAAATGTAGTATATTGGATCAGACCAATGCTCTTGCCAAAACAATTAAAGAAACTGGAAATTGAGCAATTTCTGCAAATACTTGTTACCTGAAGGTATTTGCTGATTCTGTTACTTAGGACATGTTGAAAATCTGGATTTTGCCCAGTCAGAGGGCTATTGTTAAGAAACAGAGAAAATAGCAGAGGTATTAGAAATCTTGCAGAACTAGAGACAGGGAGCTCAAAAGCCAAGTCGGTTTTTCCCCTAAGACATTTGCTAAATTTTGAAACTATAAAAGATAGAAGCTAAAGGCTAAGCAGAAAGTCTTATAAAAACAATGCAGAATTTCTGGCAGTCTTTAAGGGGTACCGAGGAGATAAGGACTGGTATTCAGGACATGTGGGAGGGAGTACGACCACACTGGACTCTCGGTGCCCTGGAAGACTACACTCTAGGAGCAGGAGCAAACCAAGAGTAGACTCTTACTCTAAACGCCTAGGATTATAAAAGAAAATACTATCATATGGAGCCTCTATAATTTCTTGTATACAGTGTCTGACATTCAATTAAAAACTACTAGGTTATGTCAGGAGACACTAAAAATCAAGAGAATTTGGCTTTCTTTTACAACATAATTTATAATTTATAACAAAATGTCTTGTATCAAGTCATTATTTGAAATATCAATGAAAATAGTTCTTTAGATATGAAAATTTTCCACTTATAGAATAGCAAATAACAATTTACCATATTTCTAAACTCTGCAAGAGTAATTTTTATCCTCTAGATATTACAACTACACAATTCTCACTATTGCTCATACAGAATATTCATTAAATCTTGCTTGTTACACATATATACTTATCAGCACTTTTACTCCATTCCTTTAAACATCATCTTATTGAGAACATAGTTTCAAAAATAACTTCCAATATCAACACCTAAAGTACTTTTCAGCTTCCCTAAAACCTGTTCTTTTTTCTCATTGCATATTTTGTTTCTCTTATATATTATAATCTTAATACCTCTAACTTTAAAAAAAAACAAAGTATGTCTGAGTAAGAGAAGATATTCACTTATGATACATCTGATAAGAAGTTAATATCCAAAATGTATAAAGAACTCATACAATTCGACAACAAAAAACAAACAATCCAATTAAAAAATGGGCAGAAGACCTAAAAACAGATATTTCTCTAAAAAAGAAATAGATGCCCAATATACATAAGAAAAGATGCTCAAGGTCACTAATCATCAGAGAAATTCAAATTAAAACCACAACGTGCTATCACCTCGCACCTGCCAGAGTGGCTATCATCGATAAATCAAAGGACAACAAGTGTTGGCAAGGATGTGGAGAAAGGGGGACTCTCATACACTCTTGGTGGGATTACAAATTGGTACAGCTGTTACAGAAAACAGTCTGGAGGCTTCTCAAAAAATTAAAAATGGATATACCTTTTGATCCAGCAATTGCACTTCTGGGTATTTATCCAAAGAAAACCAAAACAATAATCCATAAAGATCTATGCACCCCTATGTTCATGGCAGCACAATTTACTATAGCCAAGATATAGAAGTAACCTAAATGCCCATTAACAGATGATTAGATAAAGAAGTTATGGTCCATAAATACAATGGAATATTACTCGGCCATTAAAAAAATGAAATCCTACCATTTGCAATGAAATAGATGGACCTAAAGGTTATTATGCTGAGTGAAATAAGTAAAACAGACAAAGATAAATACCATATGATTTCTTATATGCGGAATCTAAGGAACAAAAAGAATAAACTAATCAAAAACAGACTCGCAAATATAGAGAACAATCTGGAGAAGGCCAGAGGGGAGGAGGGTTTGGGGGCTGGGGGAATGGGGTGAAGGGTTAAAGAAGTACAAATCAGTAGGTAGTAGATGGTCATGGGGATGGGGAGCATGGCATAGGGAATGCAATCAGCATCAATGTAATGGCTAGGTGGAGAGCCAGAGAGAAGGAGCAATTAGGGGGACTGTTTTATAAAGTATGTAAATGTCTAACCAATGTATTGTATACTTGAAACTGATAAAATTTAAAAACAAAATTAAAAAATAAAAAGACAAAGTATGTAAAAACCTTTGTACTTTGAAAACTATAAATCTCCACACAAATTTAACAGCATTAATTATTATTACTATTAATTAACATATAAAAAGCCTGGAAAAAAATTTTAATACTTTCAACTAATCACCATGAATATGTTGCTTCTTTAACAGGATAGAATCAGAAATTAACCGTCAGGTAGCTATTGAAATAGTCCAAATTCAAAATCTAACTGTAACAAAATTGGTTGTAATTCTCTTAATATTTGTTTTTATTTTTTCTCTTTTCTTTTAAGATACATATTGCTTTTAACAGAATTAAATCCCTTAAGGTCCTTGTTTGTATAGTGGTGGGTATCCCCACATGTCATAAATCCCTTAAAGTAATAATGAAAAAATCATACGAGATTAGATATATCATGGAAATCTCAGGGCCTATTTAGATAGTTTAACTAATGAAATAAGGTTTTGAACAACATGATTCTTAAGGCTGTTTTTAGTTTTGTGTATATGATTCTGTACCAGTTAACCACATGTCTACTACATTACTGCAGTAAAATTTTCATTTAGTTAAATCAATAGTACAAGTAATTTAAAAACTTAAGTGCTCTAACCAACTGCAAATGTTAGGCTATATTTGCACAATCAAGCTTGGAATATAAAAGAAAAAAGAGTCACAAGACAAAAATGAGTCTTTTCCTTTCCCATAAAAAGTGAGTACATATCAGAAAAAGTAACTTAAATTAAGTAAACTAAAACTGGAAAATTCTGACAGTACAGCAATGACTCACATAAGCATCGATAAAAAGGAGAAAGTTAACCTTTGTACTACATGCAAATAGGGAACTTTTGTACATTTGATGACCTAGATAAAGAAAGGTAGTCTCTGTTCGGAGAAAAAGAAAAATAGTGTTAATGATCAAAAACGTATGCTCACCTTGTAAAAATTCCTCCTTGCAAGCAATGAAGTAGAAGAAAACAATGCTGACTTTCTTGGCCTGCTTTCTTTAAATCGGCCTTGAACCAAGAATAACTAAAACACTGGACCACAAGCGTCCCAAAGAGCATAAAGCTTACTGTTAAAACACTAAAAACATATTGTCCTTCACGGAAAAACCTGACAGATACCCAGATGTCCACAATTAAATCAGTTATATAGATTATAATGCCAAGAACTGACATCATAAAATTTAATTTAGTATATCTCATTATGAATCACTACAGCTCTTAGTTATCTGTCTTCTCTCACACAAAAAGAAAAATACCGGAACAAATATTAGTGCATCCTTCAGTAAAGCACCAAATTTTAATTGTCTTCCCTATATCTATTCAGAAAAACAAATGTTATGAAATTGGAACACTAAAATCAAAGTGGCTAATTTTAACTTTCTTTTCTAAATCTCTAATCTAGGTCCAATGTTACAAGGCTTGTTATTCAAGCTTCTGTTTCACAGTGTTCTTCATTACAGATGACAATACCTAAAAAAAAAGGATATAAGATTCTAAAACCATAGGTCATGACTTTATCAAAACTTTTTTAAAAATGCTAAATTACCACTAAATATAGTTCTTCTAATAGCTTTGGAAAAGTAAAGTCTCAGAAATATACTTACTAATTGACAACTTCCTCTCATCCTATTTACCTTTTTAAAAGCATAACCTACTCACAAAGGTATTTATTACAGGACCATTTATAGCAGCAAAAAAATTGGAAGCAATCTAAATGTATCAAAATAAGAAATTGTTAAAGTAGATAATGGTAGATTGATAAAATGGAATATTACAAAGCTACTAAAAATATATTTAACAAAGGTACAGTAGCTGTGAAAATTCTCAGTATCTTTTGATCCAGCATACCATCTAGGAATCAGCCTAGAGAAATAGTCACAAATGTGCACAAATTTATATATGTTCTTTGCAGAACCTTTTTATAACCATAAAAAATTGAAAACTACCTAAATGACCATTGAGAGGCCTAGTTCAATAAATTATGGTACATGCACAGTAAAGAATACACCATGCAACCTTTCAAAACAATGAAGTGCTTTATTTAACCTGATTTCAAAAGATCGCCAAGATGTAGTAAGTAATAAAAAAACAAGTGTCAGAAGGATAAATATAGCACATGTGGTTTTTAATTATATATGTAAAAGGTAAAGGGTTGAGAGTAGGAAACAAATGCAACTTCCGTACTTTAAATACTTTTATATTGCTTGACTCTTGTACAATAGACTTGTCCTCATGTAATACATAATTTCTTAAAATAAAAGCAATAGTAAATGATGGTTCTAAAGAATTTTCATGACTGGAGAAAATGTTTATTTTACTAATGATAGCTAACATTTACTCAGCAGTACTTGCTGGACATTGAACTAAATGTTGCATATAAAATGTCCCCATTTAATTCTTACATCAGACTTGGGAGGTAGATACTACTATTATGACTTCTATTTTATAAATGTGGGCTGAATGCAATCTGCAGATGAGACTGGTCTGACTAATCAGTGTTTTTTTAATTTTCCTAATTCATTGCCAACACTTCATATAAAAATCCAGATTTTTTACTGCTACCAAAAAAAACCACAAAGATCTGCTACACTGGAGTACCATTCTTCCATTAGCAGTGGGTGCCTCCCTAGATGGGGCATGCTCTCTTGAGTCCACCAAAGTAGCCAGCCACCCCACTTCAGCCTTTTCAACAGCCAGGTCTCAATGCTAATGAAGCTACCTACTAGCTGTGTGTCTGTAAACATGTTCTTTTATCTCTTTATGCCTTATTTTCTTCATCTGAAATACAGAGATTATAATGACACATACCTCATATAGGGTTGTTGTGAAGGATAAAAAGGATAATACATATAACCCATATAAACTTCTAGAGAAGTGCTTGGCACACGGGGCCTAATAAATGTTAGTTATCATCATTACCTTACCTGCCTACTTGATCTTTCTAAGCATCTGAGTTTGTAATCTCTGACTTCACTTTAAATAATGTTAAGTGAAAAAGTACTACATGATCTCAAAGCGCTGAAAACGCAAAGGAATATGACTAGAGAAATACAAAAATGTTAACAATGGTTTTATCTGATGAATTAATGGTGATTAATTTTTTCATCATTCTTTTTTGTATGTATGGACAAAATCGTGTTAGAATTTTACTCTCTAATGTGACTGTTAGAGACAGGCCTTTAAGGAGACCATTAAGGTTGAAAGAGGTCTTAAAGATGACCCATTTCCCGGTTAGAAAAAAAAAGTGCAGCTTGCTGCCGGCATTAATTTTACGTAAACGTGTTCTTTGAGGCTGAAGCAAATCTGACTGGTTTTCAATGTGAAAATAAAATATAAAAACTGTTCTTGAAGTTATTTCTAAACAGAACTTGACTCTAATCCTAATGTAACAGAAATTTACACATAAATCAGATTCATCAAACGAACCTTCAGCTAATTGTTCAAGAACGATAGGAATGCTACATTTTCTAGGTTTGACATTTTCAGTGATTAAGAATTACTATATTGTGTAAATGTAAATACCACTACGAAAAACAGAATGCTATAAATAAAATGCCATTTGTTTCCAAAGACTGTAGATATACTAGAGCGATGCGAAAATAATTTTAAAATGCAAGATATTTCATGGCAAACTTTGCAGGTAAGGTTAAGGATGTACACTGCAAGTTATCTCGGGGTAAACGCTGCAGCTGCATGCGCTGCCAGTGAGTATTCTCAGGGCAAACGGGAAATAGGTTAATCTGATAGAACTGGTGTCATAAGAAGAGGAAGAGACATCAGGGATCTATCTCCCTCCCCAACGACACACAACACACACACACACACAAAAGAGAAGTAAGGACACAAGAAAACTGCCATCTGAAATGGAAGGAAAGCGGCCTCACTAGAAACTGACCCTACTGGCACCTTCATGTTGGAGTTCCAGGGTCTAGAACTATGAGAAAATAAATTTATATTGTTTAAGCCACCCAGTCTGTGGCATTCTGTTATGACAGCAATAGCAGACTAACACCTTATATGTCCTATAAAGAACATTTATTACTTTAAGAACCAGGAGGAAAAAGTGTTTCTAAAAACATAAACACAGTGTAATATAGACATGCCTTACTATTAAACTGTATACCTGAAACATTGGATTTTGTTAACCAATGCCACCGTTAAAAAAAAAAAAAAAAAGGAATAGAGAAAAAAAGAAATAATTAGTAAGACACAAAAAGAAAAAAAAAACTAACAGTAAGCATGAACTTTCCCTCAGAGATATTTACTTACTCTGAAATCAGATTTCTCTTGGAATAAAATCCACTGAAATAAGAGAAAAAAAAAACCTTCCATTTTGTACATCTCATGAGAGTACCCTTCCAGCTGCTAGATGAGATACTGCCCAATTCATGAATCCCTTAATTAAAGCCAATTAGATCTTCAAAAAATAAATAAAAACACACACAAACTAATACTTGCAGTGTTCTTGCCATTTTACCACTTATACACACTTTATTTAAAAGTCTTCAGAATAACATCAAAAAGTATTTCCCTCTTCTTACAGGAAAAAAAAAAAAAGGTTCATAATCACTACTTTTCCTGTCAAGAATATTGTAGCCAACAAGATGGAAAAAATAATCTTAAAATATGAGTTTTCCCAACCAAGAAAGCCATGAATTCCCTGTAGGTTTATCTTAAATGAAAGACATCATGCCCAACATAAGCATGGAGTTTGGAAGGATGAGAATTAACCAGAAAGTTCTGTTCAACTGAATATATACCTGTAACTTGCCATGTGCTATTTTAGTCTCTTGAGATAGATCAAGTGACAAAAGAGACAAAAAACTCTGCCCTTATAGAACTTACACCTTAACAAAGAAAAATAGTTAATTAACAGTAAAATAATAAATAATTAAATATTATAGTTAAAGGCGATAAGTGCTGTGGGGAAAAAACGTTGAGCATGTTAATGAGTGCATTTCTTAATCACTCTCCCCACAAAGACCTTCCTTTATCTTTTATGGATATGGAAAATACTAGCAGTTTTGAGTCAAGTTTTATAAGATGGGAAAAATAATTTCTAAGAAACTTATTAATTGCATTATTGATAGACCATCAGACTCAACAGACTAATCTAATATAACAACCTCTGTATTCCTAATTTAGTGAGGCCGGGCACAAAGCCAACTGGAAAGAAACCTACGCATCAAGGTAATAAATCTAACAACTCTCTTAAAAGGGCCTGCAGCTCCTTCCATTACCACATAGGTGCATAATTTGTATAAAAGACAGTTCACCTCTATTCCTACAGTTGATCACTGTTCCGATACTACCTTACAAGAAATAATGCCATCTACACAATTTGACTTCCTAGGGAATTTGTGACACTAACTTAATAAAACAGTTTCAATCCAATTTTATTCAGAGGTCAACCCAGTTGGGTGGCTATCTGGTTGCCAGCCAAAATATAAAACCTTTGCCTACTATACATGATCTCTTTGCAATAAAACAAATATTTAAAAAGTAAAAACTAGCAAACTTTCGGTTGTCAACAAAATTTAACACACGTAAAATATACTTACTTGTCAAATATAAAAAGCCTTCATCCTGAGAATTTTTTATTTCTTCTTCACTGAAAATATAATTAAAGGATTTGTAACTTTAAGACTGAAGTCTAACATGAAACTGAAATCACCTGTTAGTCACATGTGGGATGTTCTAATGTAGCGATTAACAGTCGGATTCATTGTGATTACACTACATCTGTTTACAACTACCACATTGCAGAAAGGAATGTGGCTCCTTCTATAGGTTTGACTAGGTTACAAGATTTTACTGTATTTATGAATTGTTTTAAGAAAATACAATTTGCCTCAGCATATCCAAGTGAACAAGTCATGTTTGAAAGAAAAATTCTTGAAAGATTCTTACAAAGGAGTATCATTAACTTAGTCTTACCCACTTTTCAAACTGTGTACCTTCTCAAACCCTGTACCCCAAGATCATATGATTGCTGGTTTCAGTTCCCCAAACAACTCATTAACTTTCTTCTCTTATCAAGCCTTTTCTCAAGGTTATTTACTGTCTAGAATGCCCTTCTCCCCCGACGTACGTGAAGTTCTATCAACCCTTTATGAATCAGCTCAAAACCAATCACCTTTAAGCTTCCCCAGATCTTTCTAATTTGACTCTCTCCTTCGCAATCCCATCACTTGAGCTATGCTTCTCTAGAATTTTCCCAGTCTTTAAGACCATGTATATCGCCTTTCAAGTTTTGAACTTCTAAAAAGCTCTTTCATTTTAACACCCCCCACAGTACGTCCACAAGAACACTGAGTTTTGTAGGCAGATGATAAATAACCATAAATGTAAGTGAACAAATGTAAAAATCTTTGGTCTTATTTCTTGGAGAGCAAGTTTAACTTCAAGTGACATTGCTAAACATAATTGTCTGACAAAGACTCAGTTTTGTTAGCTGTACCCTACAATCTCTCTTCCAAACTCAACCCATGTATCGAACTATCTATAGATTTCATTACCAGGATATTCCACAATCACTTCGATTTCAACTTGTCTAAACAAGTTCACTATCTTCACTATGACTGTTCTCAAGTCACTTTTATTTGTTGGGCCTATTTCTTCATATGCCATATGGATTAAATGAAATTGAGATAGTAGACTCAAAGAAAATTCTAATTAAAAAATAAAACTAAGGAATAAGAGAATGGAGCTGCCCGTAAGTCTCAGAGAGAACACTATGGTCCAGAAAAAACTGTTCCACCCTCTTTTCAAAGGTCCTGCTGACTTCCCAGCAGAGTTCTTAGGATAAGGGAAGATGGGGGAAGCTTCCAGCCTGAAGAGCCATTAACTGATGGCCACAAATACATAAATATCAGTGAGTTCGAAATGCCTGATTTAGGCAATTCTGATGGTTATTCCAAGCATTTTTAAATACTGCTTGCCTTCTTTGCGAAGGGGATAATTTACATGATTATTTCAGCGAAGGTTTTTGAAACACTTTGCTATTAAAGGTCCACCTTTGTGACACAGGCAAAAAAAATTGTCACACATAATACAGGTGTCTTTCGAAAAATGTGGAGTATTGATTTGTAAAATAAACATTTTATAAATAGGAAACAGTATTTTCTTCAGAAACACCTGCCAAAAAAAAAAAAGGATGTTAAAAATTCTTGTACTAAATTTTAGAACAAACATCTAACTTGTCAATTTCTCATTTGTTTTGAAAAAGAGGTGAGCTGGGATAGGAAATGCGTTCTCTAGCTTTTTGGGGGTAGTGATTACAACTGTAATGCGATGAAACTGATCATAGGATCTGCGCATTTTCTTCTACGTAAATTGTAACTCGGTGTTTTAAAATAGGGAGAGGTAGTGAATGGCGGGGTTGTTAATTTCTCAAACTCTGTTCTCTAGTTTAAGGCCGACCCACCACTCTGGGCAGGCCGGTGGCGCACGGAGGGATGTTATTGCGAGGATTAAACGGGATAATGCGCATAGAAAGCACTTAGAGCTGTAAGCGTTAGTACACACTACTTATTGCTGTGCATAAGAGACACACAAAGTACCCCACACATACGCACACCCGCGCCCCCCGCCACCGCCTACAAACCCGACGAGCCATCCTCCCCAGGGTTCAGAACTCATTAACTCACCCTTAACCTGGCTGCCCCTTGCCCCTGCACAAGGCTTGCCAGGTTAAAACGTCCCTCGTGCATCTGGGTAACTAGCCTGTTGAGACACAAAGGTCCAGGAAGGAACCTGGCTCCGCCGCAGGTGGCGGCTCTCGACTCCGGCCTTGCCTCACGCGGCCTCACACGTGGCGCCGACCAACGCCCTCGCACCACCACCCACGAAGCCCGTGCAGTCGCATGGGACCCTGGCTCCGCCCCTCCGCCCCTCCCGTTCCGCTCGCACGGCATCAGGTGACCGCTGGCTCCGCCCCCGGCCTAGTTTCTTATTCGGCGCTCGGGTCACTCCGCGGCGAACAAGCGAGATGACTACCACTCTGAAGCACGTCGAGCAGCTGTCCAGTCGGGTGGTGCGCGTCCTGGGCTGTAACCCGAGTCCCATGACCTTGCAGGGCACCAACACCTACTTGGTGGGGACCGGCCCCAGGTAAACGCCACCCCCCCCACCAATCCCAGCATACGCATAGGTCCCGCAGGCCTCCCGGACCTGGGGTTGCGACACTCCTGGCTGCGGGCGAGAGCTCGGCGTCCTGCCCCTGCCTGGCAGCCCTACTTGGTTCCATCCGCGGAAGTCCGGATACCTCCGAGCTCTGCTAAATCACGACCACCCCGGATGGTAACCTCTCTAACTTACGGATGGCGGAGGGAGAAATAATTTCTTGAAAAAAACAAAACTTGCTGTTTTTGAAACCCCGTTTACGTAGCTTGATGTGAATGCCCGAGTGAACGTGTTTTATCGGTTGAGACATTAGGATCGTTTTTGAATTAGGAACCTAGGAAGACGTTTACTTTGCTCACATTCTGACTTCCACTCGTGTTTTGCCTTGAGTGTAACTTCCCTTCACAAAGCCGATTAATTGTGCTCAAACCTTTTTCTTAACGCGACAGCAGAGGGCAGGATTTTCTTGCAAATTGCTGGAGTCCGAAACCCCTAAGAGTCCCTCCTGGCCGTTGAGAAAGGAGCTGACTACTTTTGTTTTTGTTACTATCGTGTGACCTTATTTAGGTTATTTAGCGGATGGAATAAGCCGTCTGTATTTCTAAGATTTTTCCCTTATTCAGCTGCATTCTGTTTTATTGGCATTATGCAGAAATGGGGAGATATGTTTTATTGCACAGTGAGTGCACCGGACAATTTTTGTGTGCTTAGTATGCCCTAGATAATACAAAACAAAAATAAGATATAGTTCCCCTCAAGCATAGAATTTAATTGTGCAATCAAGACGTGTTACAATGGATAATATATCACTGATGACTAAAAACAGTTTAATAAGTATAGTTATATTGAATTTTCATATGAAGTATCTACTGTTTGTCTTTTTCCAGTAAATCGGAATTTTAGAAGCAGCAGGGTGGAGGAACTTGAAGTATTGTAAATCAGGCAAGCAAAATATTAATTCCAGAGTAAACAAGGCAGGATCAGACAGGTACAAGAGCTTTAGGCTGCCTCCAGAATCTAGGAGGATAGGGAATTAGGTGGAGAAAATACCCGATATCTAGGGTACAGTCTGTGTTGAGTGAGCCTCCTTCACCCCCACTAAGTCCATAAGCATTCTCTTCTCTCTTGTGTGTGTCATCTTAAACTAGTTCGAAAGTCAGTACCTAAGATGAAAATTGCATATAGTGAAAATTACCCTAGAAAGTCTCTTAGGAAGAACAGTATATTAGAGATCAATGTACTGTCTCTCAAGTTCAACATAGCCTGCTTTTCTCTGAGCAATGAAACGTGGCTGGTTCCATTTGAGAAACAGCTGAAGAAATTGCCTTGTATTTAGGGATCGTGTTGTATGAAAAATACATACTGTATCTTTAAACACTAGAATCACACTCAGTGTAGCAAAATGCTTGTGCTAAAAGAGACAAAGAACCTGAAACTGAGGGAAGAGTAGATTCATGGTCTCCCACCTTACGCTACTACACACATAAACTCATGGAGTGGGATGGCCAAAGGAATCACTCACATATGAGAGAGAGATGATGAATCCATGTAGTTGAGCTAGAGTAAGTTAATGTACAGATGATGCCTCTCTGCTGTATAATGTAGAAGTCAGGTGGCTAGAAATGAATATTGGTACCTACCTGTTCCTCTGCACAAAACAGTTCTAAGATCACAGGTTCCTGCACGCACATCCAGGCCATTAGGAAGATCTCCGCATTTCCACCGCTGTCACCCAGTCCAAGCCAATATAACTCTTGCTTAGGCTCCTAAAACAACCTTTCACGGGCTTCTCTGCGTCTTCTTTTGTCCCTCTTTAATCCATTCTCCCTGGTGTAGCCAGAGTAGTATATATTTTTTTTTAAATGGAAATTAGGCCTTGCATCTGTCTTAACCTGATCTCAAACCTCTTTCCCATCCCAGCCAGATGAGTTGTATCCATGCTGCCTCAGGACTTTCATGCATGCTTTCCTGTCACCCACTTATCCCTCTCCTCTTTGCCCACCTAACCCATCCTTTTGAGCTCAGTTAAAATGTCATTTCCTCAAGGAAGCCTTTTCTGACCCCTTAGTCTGTGTTGGGTTAGTGTAATACAATGCCTTAGCACTACATACACTTCATAGTCCTTATCTCAATGATAATAAAATTTTTTTGTGTGTGAGAATCTTAATGTCTTTTCCCACCTCCACTCCCCACTAAAACATAAATGCAATGAAGGCTAATCTATGTACCTGGCACCCAGCACAGAGCCTTGTACATAGTATAGGTAGTACAGTAAATATTTGTAGAATGAATGATTGTTCTCTACGTCTTCTCTTCATTTTCTCTATTACGATTTTAGAACTGCTGGATAACGGCTGTTTTAGGTGGTCTTCCTCATTCTGGTCAGCCCATAGCTGGCCAAATGAATCGCCCTAAGGCACTACTAGACTTACTGCAATGCCTCATACATAGATACTCAATAAACATTTGAATGGACAGATAATATCCAAATCTTCCAAAGAGTATTTCTTTGTTCCTTCTCTACCTACGAACCCTAAAAGCTGCAGTTTTAACCTTTACTATTAAAATTGTAAATTCCTTGAGGGCAAATATATTCTTTCCTATTAATAGAAAAAAGCAGTTTAGTGGAGTAGGTAGAGTTGACTCTGGATTCTGATTACCTAGATCTCAATCCTGCCTTATGACTTTGGAAAAGACAGTTGATTCTCTAAGTTTCTGATTTCTTATTTGTGCAATGAACATTATATAGTACCTACTCGTAAGGATTTTGTGAGGATTCAGGGGGATTTAAGTGAAAAATCATATGAAAGCACTTAACAAATTCTAGCACGTGGAAAGTATATGATAATGTTAGCTATTTATCACTTCTGCTTCCCTCATACCATCCAGACAATTCTGGGCTCATAGTAGGTGTTCAGAAAATACCTAATGATTTTATAAGAGTGACTGCAAGTTTCAGAGAGGCCATTTAATAGCTTTCTCAAAAATGATATAAAATACCTAAAAGAGGAAGTCGATTCCACTAACTTCCATCATCAGTTAAAGGATTTTGTTCTTCACTTTCAGTCTTTGTGTATCTTTAGATCTGAAGTGAGTCTCTTGTAGGCAGCATATGTATGGGTCTTGATTTTTTATCCATTCAGCCACCCTATGTCTTTTGATTGGAGCATTTACATTTAAAGTAATTATTAATAGGTAGGTACTTATTTTCTTTCTTACCCTTGCCACTGCCAAAAGACCTTATACTGCACCTTGGACCCATATAACCATCTGGTTTTCTTGTCTCCAAAAGGGACAGTTTTAACACTGTGTACTTGTGAAGTATAGCCACTGCTCTACAGAACATAAGATATAGATTAAAACCAGTAGATCCTAAAGCCAAGGCCTTCCTTCCCTATGAGAGGGCCATTTATTGTTGGGGCTCAGGGAATAGGGTTAGGGAAACAAATCATCCAGTATCAAATAGCCATCTAGTTATGTCCTATCATTTACCCCATTTTAGTGCTCTGCAAAATGCTTTCTATTACCCATCAGTGTTATTGTTACTGTTTGTTTTCATAGTTACCCCTTTCCCCCCCAACCTTAATATAAATAAAGTTTTGTCTTGCAAGTAAGTTGTGGCACGTAGTAGATAATTCATGAAGGGTTACTGATGAATTAATAGATAAATGAATGACTAGTCCATCAAGACTAATCTCTCCCCCAGCCTGAATGAGGGAGGTGTTACTGTGAAACAACATGAATGTTAGTTAATTGGTTCTTATTTCTTTAGTTCAGGAAGACTTCATAGAGAAAGACCATCATTCCATAAAATAGTGAGGAAGGGCAAACAAAGTGTAAGGAAGGTTCAGAAAAATAAGCAGAAAAATAAAACTACAAGGATTGTCCAAAGAAACCAAGCAGCTCAGATGTTTCCCTCATACTTTTCTACTGCTTTCATTTTCATGTATAAGGGAGCCAATGTAAAGCTTCAGCGACAAGTTTTGTATGTAGTGCAGAAGACTAGGTTTCTTTAGCGATAAAATTGGAACAAATTTTTTCATGTCTATGAGACATTGGAGGATATTATAAACTATCTCGAAGGCAGAATGTATAAAAGCACATATTCTGGCACGAAAATAACTGGTTTTGAATGCTGGTTCTTCCATTTATTTACAGAGTAACCTTGATCAAGCAAGTTAATTAATTTCTGGATATAATAATGAAATACCTACCTTAATATCTAGCTATTATGAGGAATACAATTTTTAAAATATGTAAGGTCCTCGAAATAGTGCCATATCTATTTTAAGTGCTATGTAAGTGTTCAATATTATTGTTCTTACTGCTTATTCAGACTTAACATTAGCTATAAGAACTTAAAGTGGAATTACTGTAGTTAAGCAGAAGTAACATACAGCAGGTTTTGAAAGCAAAACAATTTATGCTGTTTCTTAAATGTAAATTATCTGTATGAGAAATATGCTAATATTAACTCTTCTAACTGATTATCTTCCATTCAACTTTCAGGAGAATCCTCATTGACACGGGAGAATCAGCAGTTCCAGAATACATCAGATATTTAAAGCAGACTCTCGCTGACTATAACACAGCAATCCAGGAAATCCTTGTGACTCACTGGCATCGTGATCATACTGGAGGCATAGAAGATATTTGTAAAAACATCAGTAATGGTAAACAAAAAGCATTTATTAAGCTCATTGAGGAAAACTGTGTTTTCAGAATAATTTGTTTCCGTATAATGCTAAGTAAGCTAGTAAACCATTTATTGAATACCTTATATTTAAATGCTACTTCTAGAAATTAATATAATTTGAATACTGTTCCCATTTTTAACAAGAAAGTAAAAGCCGTATTTTCTATTTCAAATCTCTTCTCCCTCTTACTTTTCCCTTTGCCCAGTGATGGTCAGTTTTAATTTAGTCCACATGACAATCACTAGTTAAGATTTAATAATAAGTAACCACTGTTGAGCATTTACTGTGTTTCAGGCACTGTGCTAAACACTTTACATGGGTACTTGAGGTACTTAGTGTTATTGTCTATATTTTAAACATGATCTCAGGTCTTCTATAACTTCAAGGCAGTTATTCTGATACACTAAAATACTGCTGAAAGATCATTGCATTGATAATTAATTCTCTGTCCCTGAAACCTATTCAGTGCTAACACTTTACCATCTCTCTTTATTCCCTCATCCCACCATCCCACACAAAGATTCATTCATTTATTCCTTTAACAAATACTCAAGTGACTGCTATATCCAGGCGCTGTTCTTAGGACAGGGGATGTAGCAGTGAACAAAACAAGGGCTTTGCTCTCATGCTAGTAGAGAAAGTAAATGGTAAATAATAGGTCAGATGGTGGTAGCTGCTATGAAGAAAAATAAAGGTGAGTGAAGAAAAGAGGAGAGAGAATAAAGTGGAAGAGGGCAGTGGCTATTCTATCTAGTGCGGACAGGGAGAGCGAGTGAGCTGTATAGGTATCTGAGAGGCGGGTGTACCACTGCAGGAACAGAGGTACTAGAAGGGGTTTGCTTGACACGTCCAAGGCACATAGAGGACAAGGAGGTCGAGAATGTTCCTTCACAAAACATGCACGTACGCATGCAGCTAATACTTTTAAGTACGTTCTTTTTAGGCTTTGAGACTACAATTGGGACAGAAAGATATTCTCAGCTGCCGCAGCCAATAACACCAGGCTGCTCATTATAAAAAACTGTCTAACCAAACTTCCTTACCCCACAGGAAATCATTCTCTGTCTCTCTGACTTTTCCTCACCTTTCTTTCTCTTATCTACCCATTAAATTCTGTGAAATGAAAGACTCTGCTGAGGGTCCTTAATTAGCTTTGATAAACTCTTTTAGCATGAGGGTCAATTTGAAAAAATGTTTATGGCCGGCTTTTTCTCCTTTATAAATCAGCTTTTTTGAGCTTGAAGTTACGTATATAAAATGTACCCATTTTAAGTGTATAGTTTGTAAACACCTATGTGATCAATCATCAAGATAA